CAAATTTCCGAGAAAGGCAAAACTTCCAATAAATGTTTGAAATAAGCAAAATAGGCAAAAAAAAGCAATTTGCCTTTAATCCGAGCTTTACTTATGAGTATTAGTAACTATAAACCAAAGACGGCTAAAGTACCATTTCCCCAAAACGCTGCAACTTTTTTTCTGAGTGATTCCCATTTTTGCCAATAAATAATTCAGATAGAAGTAACTGTATTGCTTTGCCATCGAATACACTCTTAAGAGTGGAATTTATGTGGTATTTCAAGCGCAAAAAATTGGCCAAAAGCATCCCAGGTTATTCCCCAGTGGACCTTTTCTTGTTCCTAAAAGTAGAACAGGCTGTTCGGCCCTCTCTAATTGATTTAGAGTCCGGCCCCGTGTTTTTGCGGTAAGCCCAAAAGTCACACGCACTGCACCTTACTGTAAACAACGACCTGCGGGATTCACACGGGATCTTGATAGCTATAATACCATTGGGGGGATGCGTCATTGCTCAAAAATCAGTAGCGTAGAAGGACAAAAATCGTTACGTCTATGTACAGTTGTTTGCTTCCTCAATCCTCATCGCCAATTCAATGTTGATTTCAGCGAATTCTAAGCAGACCTACCCATCACCCTCCATCGATTTCATTCGTGTGCTTCCACATGATTCGCTTATCTTTTCCCATATAATTCTTTGCCACCACATTTGCAAGCCCATAGAAAAACATCCCAGTCACATTGCAGTCGGAAGCGATGGCGGGCGATAATGAGGGCGTGAATTGCATTTTTCCTCCCTTGTTGACTTTATTCCAATTATAATGTCTGCGTTATCCACTAATAACAAATCTTTGGCTTCCTGCATGGAATGACTTTGGACATTTCAGCTCTGTGCTAAGTAAGGTTTTACGCTTTGAATGGATAATTGGATTAGTCAAATTGTTGCAGAAGGTGTGAAAACCGGTGTAAACCGCCAATTTTTGATGGAATTTTCAGGAGTACTTTCATAAAACGGTACTAATTGATATCAACGCTTTCAAAGCTTTTCGCGCCTCCAAATTTTCACAATAATCAATGCTAATATAGGGGGATGCTTCAGTCATTTTCCCAAAAAAAAATCAGCGCAAAATTAATACTTTTTTTAATCCGACTTTTTGGCTGGCAACATTTTCCAAGCCATGCGTCCACCGCTATTCATTGCTCTATACAGTAGTGGAAAAATCAACACTCTGCGTCAATCTGTTCCTGAGAAATGAGCCGAAATAAAACATAGAATTTTTCCAGAATCTTGCACCTAAGTGGGTGATTTGCAAATTATTCGGTTCTTGTAGAAACACCGCCCGTAAATCACTGAATGGGGTTTCTAATTTTCATTCGGACGGTATGAAAACGAACTCTGAAGCCTTGAGGTTCTCTGCAAACTCAACTGGTTCTTGACATAGGCCGCAAACGGCATTTGAATTTTTTTGCGAAAACTGCCAACATTTGTTTCTCTATCCAGTGCTATAAAAATGCTTTTTTATTCGAAT